AGATTTAAAATAATATAAAATTTAAAGTAATGATGTTAAGTAATTTATATATAATATGTGTAATTTAAAAATATGATTGTATATGGTTGCTGAATTTAATTTGTTTCATTTTTATTTTAATGGTTTGTTTTTCAGAGAAGAGTGTTATCAAAGGCTAAGCATGTCTTGGTTAANAACACAAAGGAACTGATGATAAACTTGAACTTTCCTCAATACAAAACACGTTCTTCAGGACAAAACACGTTCTTGATAATGTCCGAAATCATCAATACAATCCATGTGTTATGTCAATAAAGGAATCAAAACCCACCAGAAATAGATTGTTGTCTAAACGATCTCCCTAATAACGATTTTAACACAACATTCAAATCCATACAATTCTTCAAAGAGAAGAACCTTGCGAGTAAAGAATCATACTTCGTTTCTGGAGTCCCCGGTTCCTTCTACTCGAGGCTCTTCCCTTGTAAGAGTCTCCATTTTGTGCATTCTTCTTATGGTCTCCACTGGCTCTCTAAGGTATGATAAGTGTTGATACTGCATTACAAAACTCTATTTATATAGAAATTGAGTTATTTGATAATTTTGAAAATTGCTATATTAATGTTGGAATTATTTGATTGTAAGGTTCNTGAAGGACTTGAGAAGAACAAGACGAGTGTGTACATCACAACTTCAAGTCCTCTAAGTACATACAANGCTTANTTAAACCAATTCCAAAGAGATTTCTCGACATTTCTAAAACTGCGTTCTGANGAGATGGTTTCTAATNGACGTATGGTTCTCACTTTNCTCGGTAGAAACACTATTGATAAGCCATTGCATAGAGATTGTTGTCACTTTTGGACATTATTATCCAAATCTCTCCGTGACCTAGTCATCGAGGTATATAATACATATACCAAAACCATAAAATTAATTGTTCGTCGACATTTTGAATATGTTCAAACATTCAAACATTGTTTCATATATTTGATTTTGTCATGAATTTTCTTTTATGATAGGGTCATGTGACTGCATCAAAGGTGGATTCGTTCTACCTGCCATTTTATGACCCGACCGAAAAAGAAGTCAAGGAGATTGTACACAAAGAGGGTTCCTTTGAAATCAAAGACTTGGAGACACATGAATATGATCTTGGCCATTGTAACCAAGACGAGACAAAGAAAAGTAAATCAGGACAAAATGAAGCCAATTATATAAGAGCGGTGAGTGAACCATTGCTCGTGGCTCACTTTGGAGATGTCATTATCAACATTGTTTAACAAGTTCGCACATCATGTGTCTCAACATGCTAGTTGCAGGAACAAAACGACCGTCAGTCTAGTCGTCTCGTTGACTCGGAAATAACTGTTATGCCCTAACTGATAACTCTACAGTTGATTTGGGTTGTTCTTCAGGACAAAAACACGTTCTTGACAATGTCCAAAATCATCAATACAATCCATGTGTTATGTCAAACAAAGGAACCAAAACTCAGGAGAGAAAAAACCCCGTATGTAACCGATGCCCATGTAGGAGCTAGATTTCATAACACAAGCCCATTGTCATGAGCACTGAAGATGGTCACAAAGGCATCCCAAATGTATCTCAGATCGATCCAATGTAAGTAAAAACAACAACATGATCTACAAAACTTTCAAAGCTATCGTTCGGTAACGGTACTTGTACTCGTCCAGCTACTCATTCCCATAATATTCATTCTGTCAATAACAACAACATGGCTCTCTTCTTAAAATAATAATGCCTTGAGTTTCACTTTGGTTCATTGTTGGTTCTGTTCCAAATTCCAATAAGGCCATGTTCGTTTGTCCATCTCTCAGCTCC